AGGGCAGAGACAGGGCAGGGACAGGACAGGGACAGGGTAGTGCCCACAGCTCAGGACCAGGCTTCACCGTGTGGCCCCCTGCCTCTCCAAGGGACCAGCTGGTGAGAGTCCCTCGCCCTGCCCAGATGTTGCTCCTCCTCCTCCTAAACCCTTCCCTGGGAGCACCACTGGGGAGCGCTGGAGAGGAACACGGGGAGAGCTCAAAGCTGGGACCCCCGCCCAGCCCACGGGCAGCTGACCAGGCTGGGGCTGGCGGACAGTGTCTTTGCACCAGGAGAACTCTGGGAAGATGCTCCCGGCGAGGAGACCCAGCACGCAATGGGGACGATTTCTTTCTTCCTTTTATTTATTTATATTTTTGGAGAATGGGGGATGCGGATTTTGGGCCACACCCAACCGTGCTCAGGGACCACTCCAGGCTCTGTGCTCAAGGGCGGGATGCATGCAAGACAAAGGCGCACTGTCGCTGCCCGCTGCCCCCGGGAGGTGCTCTTCAAACCCCAACAGCTGGCTCTGTTCGGACCCTCTCTCCTAAGGCTCTGAGAGGAGCTAGTCTAGTCGGGAGCCCGTCTGGGGCAGGGTAGCAGCCGGGCTGCCCACCTGAGCCTCACTCCCAATGAACGAGGATGACTGGAGTGAGACCCAGACCCCCGTGCAGATACGCCAGAGGTCGCCAGGGAAGAGGCTGCCATTGCGTGGAGACTAGAGGGTCCCCAGCAGCACAGGGCCCTGACTTGCCAAAGTCAGCCCCACCAAACCTTCCCAGCAGACGACAAGCCCAGGCACCCTCTGTCCCCATGTGGGCTGCGCATGCAGAAGGGAGACATCAGCTGTGCTCACTAGGGAAATTTCAGAGAGACAGACAGACAGACAGTCGGACAGGGAGCAGAAATCACAGCTGAGAACAGCCCGCACCTGACGGTGTCAGCTCTCAGGCCCCTGCCTTCCGCCACTGCAGTGTGAGAAACCTCCACTTCTGGGAACGGGGACACATGTTTGAGTAAGAGACAAAGGCACCTGCCAAAACCAACTCAAGAGGGAAAAAAACAAACAACCCCCCCCCACCATCCCCCCAGACCTCTCAGTGGGTTGATCCGGGAAGTAAGTAAACATTTAAGAAGCCGTGAAACGGAGTAACAGTCATCTTGAACCTGCAGAAACCCAGTCTGACGAGGGAACAAGGGAACGTATTTCACCACACAACTGATGCATCATTTCTGTTGTTCCTGCTGTCGTTTTTGTTTTTTAGGGCAACTGGCACCGTTTTTCTCTTTTTTAAAAATGTCACATAATGGGATTAGAAAAAGAGCACCGGGATTAAGGCCCTTGCACGTGACTGACGCCCTTTCAATCAATCCCCAGCACTGCAAGGGGGCCCCTGAGCACCACCAGGGGGCACTCCTGAGCACAGAGCCAGGAGTAGCCCCTGAGTATCATGGGGATGGCCCCAAATCCCACCCCCTCAAAACACTTTCACGTAATGGTTACACCCCACATTTTTGCAAAAGAATTTGCCATAAAATCCGTCATGATTACGTGGTGAAATACTGTAGAGTTGCTGTTGGCAATTTCCTTCCATTGGATCCTGGCTCCCTGGATCCCTACTTGCCAGGTGGTGACCTCGCGGGCGGGGGCCAGTGCTGCAGACAGCCCCACACTGATCGCTGGCCTCCTCCTGGCCGCTTCACTGCAGTCTCGAAACAGCACCAAGTGAGGACAGATGTCCTGGGAGCCCCCTACCTGGGGGATCAAACATCCTTCCACAGGCTGGAGGCCACAGGTGGGAAATCAGCAAGGGCGTGGGGAGGACCCTCATCTTGGCTTGCAGGCGGTCACCTTTGTTCCGGCCTCCACGTGAGGAAGTGAGCGCTGATCGCCACTTCATGTCAGGGCACTCGTGCCCTCTGGAAGGCCCGATCTTGGCTCATCTACACCCACTCACCTCCCCAAGTGCGCTCACAGTGGGTACGCAGCTCCAGATAATGGATCAGGGAGGGGTGAGGGGTGGAGGTTACCCCCCTAACACGGGACTGCGACTCCTTGGCTCAGTCTCCTCAACGGCACTGCACGGCCAAAGCCCTGCGACCCGCCACTAGCTCCTGTCCCGCTGGTCTCTCCAGGGGAAGGCACGATGGCCTGGGGCATCTGCTGGAGGTCACAGGGCAGGGGACAACATGGGCACCAAGCGTGGTTCCGGGGCTTAGGGAGGCTGGAGTGGCAGAGATCAGATGGCCACCGCCTACACACAGCTCTGCTTTCTGCCGGACCCGTGGGTGGGGCCCACTCTCTCATAGGCCCCCAGCCTCCAGGCTATTGCTCTACAAAGAAGCATGGCAATCCTTCTTGCACAAGCTCAGACACAAAAGCGTCTCCAGGGCGGCTCTGTCTAAGCCACACACGGCTCTATCCCTCCCTCTGGACGATCCGACCTGCCATTCACTCCCAGGTAGGGAGCCGGCACTCACCTGGCATTTAGCTGTCCAACGACATGATTAAAAATTACTTTCCTGGGGTCGGAGCGATAGTCCAGAGGGGAGGGCACTTGCCCTGCACATGCCTGACCTGGATTCAATCCCTGGCATCCCATATGGTCCCCCAAGAACCACCAGGAGTGATTCCTGAGTGCAGAGCCAAGAATAACCCCTGAACATTGTTGGATGTGACACCCCCCCAAAAAATTACATTAGCAAAAGAATCTGAGACATTAAAAAGATGACGAGAGAGGCCTTAATCAGATTTCTCGAATTCTCCATTGAGTGTGGTTCTGCTCCACCCTGCTCTGTGTCCCTGCGTCCCTGTCAGTGTGGGATTCACTCTTTCCGCCACCACACTCACCTCCCTCCTTCCCGCCGCTCCCCTCCCCGCTGCTCCTCCCTCCTGGCCTCACCTGTCACCTTCCAGTGTCTAGTCCTCCCACACAGGGCTGAGGGGATTAATCTGGAAGCAGAGTGAGTCACTCTGACCAGCTCCTACATTAAAGGTCCCAACCTGTTCACTCTGACACAGATGCATCTGTTCCGGGCACCAGGGCTCGACACCCCTCTCTCTGCCCGTCTCCCCACTCCCTCTCCATCCCTAAGCTCCTCCCAGACAGACACCTGGAACAGACACCTCTGCTCCTTCCCAGTCTTTACCGAGACTAGAGTCCAACCCACCCACCCAGGCGCAGGGCCCAGGCTCTGTGCCAGGACGCCTAGGCTGATCCTCCAGCTGGAGCCGCCTCCTGGCAACTGCTAGTGCCTCCCCGAGGTGGCCACAGCCTTGTCACGGCAAAGTCAAGGCCAATCCCTGAGGCCAATTCTCCCAGGACAGGTCAGATCCATTCTTAGGAGTGAATGAATAACCACAAGACGGGACATGGTTGGGGATCGGAGCGACAGCACAGCGGGGAGGGTGCTTGCCTTGCACGTGCTGGAGCCGAGTTTGATTCCCGGCATCCCACATGGTCCCCAAAGCACCACCAGGAGGGATTCCTGGGTGCAGAGCCAGGAGTAACCCCTGAACACTGCCAGGTATGTCCCCCCCCACACACACACACAACCCAACCCCAAAAAAAGACAGGGCATGGTTTTACTAGATACAGTGAAGGCTCCTTGTAGAAATGAAGACTTGGGGCTATGATAAAAACAACTCATGCTGGCAAACACGAAAGCGCAAATCCCCCTGAGCCAGCCTGTCTGCCTGACAATGGCATTCTTGGATTTGCTGGTTTTCAACAACAAAGTAAAAAAAAAAAATCTGAATTGAAAAAAACAAAACAAAACTTTCCTGGTTTTATGCTTTTGTGGCTTCAAGGTGAACAATGACATTTTTGAAGCCCGAACGCCATGCTCAGACATGGGGCCACGCACTCCGGAGAAAGTTTGGGCCCCTCTGAGGCACAAAGCTGGTGGATGCAGAGCCCAGACAGGGGAGACAGCGGGGTGTAGGAGAGCCCCGGGCTGGGGATTAGGATGCACGGCCTGACCTATGCCGAGCCGGCCCCGCCTGCCAGGCTGTTTGGGAACATTTTATGAAGGCAGGAGAAACACTGGCTGAGCTTGTGAAAATAATGAGTCACAGAGCAGTGACGACAGAGATGGCGCATCGGGCCCCCATCATGCGCCTCCCGGGGCGACAAAGGGGCCGGGGATTTGCAGGCCTCGTCCGGGAAAGAGGGCTTTGGTAACTGTAGTCTCCCAGCAGCTGATGGCAGGCCACGCTGAGGACGCAGGGGAGGAACAAGAAAAACGAGCTCCGCATGGAGCAAAGCGGTCAGCATGGCCCAGAGACCAAGCTGACATTCCTCGGTCGTGTCAGTCTCTGCAGAGACAAAGGAGACCTTGAGGCTGAGAGGACGCCTCGGACGGAGGCATCCATGTAGGCTGCAAAGCATTCAGGGGTGACGACGACAGAGCTGAACACGTGTCTTCACTGGGGCCAACCTTGCCAGAACCATTTCTAGAATATTCACAGAGCCTGCACAGGAGCAGCTATGAAGCATGGTGGACACACGCTCTCTGAGCCTCTCTTCCCACCCTCCTCCCACTTGTCCCGTCTTTGATTAAATAATGCACAACTGGGGCTGGAGCGATAGCACAGTGCGTAGGGCATTTTCCTTGCATGAGGCCAACCCAGGTTCAATTCCCAGCATCCCATGTGGCCTCCCCGAACACCACCAGGAGTAATTCCTGAGTGCAGACCCAGGAGAAACCCCTGAGCATCGCCAAGTGTGACCCAAAAAGCAAATAATAATAATAATAATAATAGTAATAATGCACAACTGTCTTTCTCTCCCACATGGCAGAGCCTGGCAAGCTACCCGTGACTTCTTTGACATGCCAAACACAGTAACAAGTCTCACAATGGAGACGTTACTCCAATGGGCCCGCTCGAGCAAATCGATGAACAATGGGAGGACAGTTCTACAGTGCAACAGTCTTTCTCTCCCCTGAGCACAGGTGCCTGGGTGGAAGCGGCCGAGCAAACGCCCACCTGCCCCAAGGACCAAGGCCCCTTACCTTCCTTCAGAGTCCATTTGATGGAGCCCGTCCTCTTGCTGACAGCGTGCAAGCTCCCGTCCAGGGTAGACACAAACAGCAAGGTCTCAGGAAGGGTGACGGTGCTGGGGCTGCCGAAGATCTGCAGAGAGACAGAGAAAACTTCCTTGTCAAGGTGATGCTTCCTTCGCCTCAGGCAGGCCTCCCACCGACGCCCACTGCCACAGCTCTCAGAGGAAACCACAACTGGAGTTACCTCGGCCCCCTTCAGGGTGTGGGTCTAAACTGCCACGGAGCTGGGACTGGAACCCAGCAGCCACCTTCCCTCTCGGCAGTGACCCTTCCCAGGACAGATGGGCTGATGACCCCCTTGGTATGATAAAGACGGAGATTCTTTTCTTTTTTTCTTTTCTTTTTTTTTTTTTTTTTTTGCTTTTTGGGTCACACCTGGTGATGCTCAGGGGTTACTCCTGCCTTTGCACTCAGGAATTATTCCTGGCAGTACACAGGGGACCATATGGGATGCCAGGGATAGAACCTGGGTCGGCCGAGTGCAAGGCAAACTCCCTACCCGCTGTGCTATATCACTCCAGCCCCAAGACCTCACATGATTCTGAAATCACCCACAGTTGGCTTCCAGGAAACAGGGAGAAGGAACACTCGCTCATTTCTAACCCACCTCCTTCCCTGCTGATAGTTTACTTCAAAATCTGGTCATCTTGGGAGTGAGAGAGAGAGCACAGAAGTTACAGAACTTGCCATGCGTGCAGCCAACCCGGGTTCAATCCCCAGCACCGCCTGAGCACAGAGCCAGGAGTATGCCCTGAGCATTGCCAGGTGTGGCCCCAAAACAAAACAAACAACCACAGCTAGGAAGTGAGGACTCTGGCAAGTATCACAACTTGTGAGTCTCAATGAAGAGTGAGACCCCCAGTGAGCAACACCGGAACCGAAGGGATGCAAAGTGCGGTGAGCACCACAGCCCAGGTACCAAGCAGCACGATCTGATACGTGACTTCACACGAACACCACCGCTGAAAACGAGCACGATCAGCAGCAACGGCAAAGTGGGGGAGGAGGCAATGAGGAAATAAAGATTCTAAAATTGGGGCCGGAGCCATAGTACAGCGGATAGAGCACTTGCCTCGCAGGTGACAGACCCGGATCTGGTCCCTGGCACCCCATATGGTACCACAAGCCTGCCAGGAGTGATCCCTGAGCACACGGCCAGGTGTAAGTCCTGAACACAACCGTGTGTGGCCCCAAAACCAAAACCAATAAATAAATCTATAATCACCAAAAAGAAGAAAACAGCCAAAGGTCATAAAATTTTCTTTCCCATCTATTACTGGTGGCAATAAAAATTATAAGTATAGGAGCAATAGTTTAGCAGGTAGGCGTTTCCCTTGCACATGGCTGACCCAGGTTCAATTACCAACATCCATATGTGCCCCCAGCACCGCCAGGAGTGATCCCTGAGTGCAGAACCAAGAGAAAGCCCTGAGCACCACTCGGCATGGACCAAAAATAAAACAACAATAACAACAACAACAAGATTATACGTTTAACGTTTCTGAAGAGCATAAAAGTGTCATTGTTTTTAATTCACCTCTACATAAGAATATTCTAAAAGTTTAGTAGAGTTTTACCATGTATGTATGAAGCTCACTGCACACAGAGCTTGTGTCTTTACTTCTTTTATTTCACTCTTATATCCCAAAGAAAGAATTCCAGATATGGGAAAATAAGCCCTGTGAGACTATGTCCCCTTCCCAAACACAGGAAACTAGAAATATCTGAATTTCCAACAACATCTACATAGCCAAAATAAATGAGGACATAGTCACTTGACAGAATATTAGGTGATCAGTCAAACAGCTACGGCACAGTAGAGAAAAATGCTTATGTGCATCACCTAGTGAGACGTACGGAGTTCCAGTATCAATGCACATGGTGGGGACAGTTATTCTGGGTAGCCAGGAGTGTTTCTTTCATCTCCCTGTCCTCCAACTGCCAGGAACTGCACCACGACCCACCGGTTTCCATGGAAGCCACCATACATGTCCGCATGCACGCACATGCACACACACACACAACATGCATACACATGCGTGCCTGTACTAAGTAGGGAGGCTTCCTAAAATGACAGCCTTTTGAGATCTGTGCCCATTCGATCATGTCACCTTCTTTCTTTTTTCTTTTTTTTTTATTTTTTTGGGGGGGGGTCACACCGGAGATGCTCAGGAGTTACTCCTGGCTCTGCACTCAGGAATGACTCTTGGCGTTGCTTGGGGGACCATATGGGATGCTGGGAATCAAACCCAGGTCAGCCAACGTGCAAGGCAAACACCTTAGCTGCTGCGCTATTGCTCCAGCCCCCCATGTCACCTTCTATTGAGGTTTTTCTTTGTCTCTGTCACTATACTTTGCTGCAAATCAGTTGGTTCCTATGGTCTTGAATTAAAAACCAGTCAACACTATACTTTGCTGCTGCTACAACCGTTTTGCATACATTCTGCTTAGAATAAAGGACTAGGCTGGCTGACTTCTGGCACCAAACATCAGCCGACCATGACAGGGGCTGGGGTTGCCCAGTTGGGCCTGCCTGGCAGGCGGGAGCCTGTGAGTTTGATCCCACCCCACGTGTCCCTTGACACTAGTGTCTGGGATCCTCAGAACTGTGACAAAGTGATCAAGCCCCAGCTACCACAAACCAGAGTGTCTGAGCACCTCAACAAAGTGTGGAACCCCTCAGTACAAAAATGACGACAAAGAGACAGGGGTGGGGTTGGAAGCATGCAGTTAAAAATTCTATAGAGAGGGGCTGGGGTGACAGCACAGTGGGCAGGGCATTTATCTTGTATGTGGCCAACCCAGGTTTGAATCCCAGCATCCCATATGGTCCCCAGAGCACCGCCCGGAGTAATTTCTGAGTGCAGAGCCAGGGGTAACCCCTGTGTATCGCCAGGTATGACCCAAAAAGAAAAAAAAAACTCTATAGAGAATAAGATGGGGGAAGAGTGGCAGGTCCAGGGAAACAGCTCCAAGGGCTCAAGCACATGCTTGTACACAGGAGTCCTTGACTCCAAGGCCAGCACTGCTAAGAGTGACCCACCCCCACCCCCTGCCTAACCAAAAGAAATTTAAAAAATTCAAAATCAGGTGGAAGGGTCTTCAGTGCCAGGAGCCTGACCTGACTCATGCAGCTCCTCTGGGTGAATCAGGAAAGCTGACGGCTCTTCCCAGGGCACTGCCTTGCTTCTCCCTGGAGGAATCCACGGGAAGATGGTCGAAGCCACCGCCAGCACCTGCTGCTCCACCCACTGCCAGTGCCTAACCCGGATGACGGCTGAGGTGGGGGCGCCCACAGCGACAAACCCCACCCCGCTGAAGACCACCTGACGGTGATTCAGGAAAATGCTTCACTTTTCGTCCTACCTCTGGAACTAGGACATCCGTCTTGGAGGGCAGCCAGGCTGGGAAACAAAAGCCTGCCCAGGGGGCTCTTCTAAAGTGGGGGTTGGAGGCAGTTCAAACCAGTGTAGCCCACAGAATTGGACCTGCTCCATCTCAGCCTGGCGAGGTAGCCCAGGGCTTAAGGCACTGGCCTTTCAGGCAGCTGACCCTGGTTCTATCCTCGGCACAATACAGAATCCCGAGCACTGCTGGGAGTGACCCCTGAGCACAGAGCTGGCAGTGTGACATGTCACCCCCAATAAATAAAATAAGGAAGCCAAGGATGAGGCATGGTCCGGGCAAGCAGCAGCCATGCCGGTCCACTGAAGACGCAGCTACTGAGAACTGACTGTCCCCCACGGGAAGGGGAGAGGCGCATCGTTGATGTTTGGGTGCCTGGGAGGCGTTAGAAGAGTATAGACTGGATGGTGAAGACCTGAAGTGGAAGGTGGGTGCGTCTCTGGGAGGCAGGGGGTGGCAGGTCCTGCAAAGACCCTCCTCCACCGCCTTGTGGGGTCCTTACCCTGCAGAGAGCCATCTTGCACTATAGACCTTGGGATCAGAATTGGTTTGAACATTCCAGGCAGTTCTAGTGACAAGGAGTCACTGGGAGATCAGGGAGATTTCTGCGAGCGTGTGTTTAGACAGAGAAAGATGGATGAGAAAGACACAGAGAAGAAGCTGAAGGAGGGATCTGCCGAACAACCGGGCAAGCGCCCTGACCGGCCAGCTTCCAAGGCGCAGACACGCCACTGTCCAAACACAAAGTCCATTCTTTGCTTAAGGTTACTAGGACAAGAACCCAAATAGAGCGCACGCACACACACACACACACACACACACACACACATATATGTGCACATATGCACATATACATATGATCACATAAAATTCACATGCAGTTTTCATGCTATGCAAGAAAAGACTGCATAGAAGAAAAGATGCCTAGAAAAGATTGCAACAACAATATTTTCTCCTCCATATTCTAAATTTCCTATAATATGATTCATGTAATCTGCACACTGATTTTTAATAAAGGAGACAGATCAGTTAAGAGATGGGAGAGGGAGCTGGAGCAATAGTACAGTAGGGAGGGCATTTGCCTTGCATGTGGTCAACCTGGGTTCAATTCCCAGCATCCCATGTGGTCCCCTGAGCACCGCCAGGAGTAATTCCTCAGTGCAGAGCCAGGAGTAACCCCTGTGCATCGCCAGGTATGACCCAAAAAGGAAAAAAAAAAAGAAAGAGATGGGAGAGAAGCTGAAATGGATTTGGTTTGGGGGCCACCACCAGTGGTACCGGAGGTTCCTTCCAGCTCTGTGCTCAGGGGACCAGGCGGTACTGGGGATCTGACCTGGGTCTCCCACTTGCAACGTAGGAGCTCAGCCCTTGGAGCCGTCTACCTAATGTCAGAAGCTGAAATGAAGAGCTTCAGCAAGCTTCTGAGATCTTGCTCATCTCAGGATATGGGACAAGTTGACCACCTTTGATAGTTAATAGCTACAGAACAGGGTGCAAATGCAAGATTACGTGCATCCAAGTATATACAAGAGTGATGTTCTTATCGTGACTGCTTCCAGTACTAACAATGAACGAACTGCCCCCATCCGCCTTACTGCAGGAGCAAGGCTAAAGGGGGCAGCACAGAAACACAAGCCTGGCTGCTCTCGGTGGAAACGGAAGCCA